AACGCTCAGTTGCAGCCCTGGCTACTGCCCAGTCTGTAACTAAAAGGCTTTTATGTCACTGCCGAATACTTAATACTACATTGCTTAAATGGTGGTTGTTAAGGCTGCCGTGGAAGGGCAACAGGACTTGCTAACTGTCACCTTATCCAAAAGTAACGTTGGTGTATCTACTCTAAAATGAATGCACCTAACTGCTGGGGCTGCTGTTCTGGTGTCTGCCTGTTACACTTGGCAATACAAAACCTACCTGTTTTCAATCGAGGAGGTGCTTTTACATTCACGCTTAAAAATACGTACCTTCAAAGCCACTGTACTGCTGGAAGTGTAGACGAAGACCTGGATCATAAACAGCTTCTGCACAGATCAGACCTTGGATGTGAGGAAGAGGCAGGTTTATGGCTTTTGTTGATATTTTTTTTTCCCCCTGTTCTGCATGATGCTAAAATAAACGTAGCTTAAAGTTAAGAAGCGGTACAGCATCCCACACCTGAACATAGCAGAATCATAGCATTTCATTTTAGGATGGCTTAGTTTAATACGGTATCTGAAATACTAGAGGTGTAGAAGTTGTGGTGTGCTACCATGCAGTCTAGTCTTAGCTTTAGTACACATTTCCAGAGTTCAGCACTTTTTTATCAATCAGACCTGGACTAGACACTGTGATTTCAAAAGGACATATAGTAAAATAGAATAAGAATGGATTGCTTATTCACAACTGCTTACTGTGTCTCTGAGCTCATAAATTCATGGTACTTGTTGCACTGCCGAATTTCAGGGTACTTGAAAACTGAATAAATTTGTGAAGATGGTGATGACTAGGTGAATTGGAAAATTTTTGTCACTTGTCTTCCATTATTGCTTTGTGCCTGCATCAAAGTGCTCTGTTTACTTTTGCATTCTATTTTTGGGACATGGTGGCAGGCGCTTTTCTTCTGTTTTAAGTTCTGACGTGTAATTAGATCCCTTGCTGCTCAGAAAGAACCCCAGGGACAATGACCTCAGTTGCCAATCCTCATTGCCATTCTCTTTGACCTCCTTACAGTAGAGATGATTACTGCTTGTTCCAGTGCTATTCAGAGGTCTTTTGCCTGTCTTTCTCCTCAAGAATACTTGGATTTTGCAGAGGCAGGCATGGATGGGGATGCTCAAGCATAGGTATAACCAGGAAGGGTGTACTGGCCTTTATGTGGCAGTTCATGCTTGAATTTCACATTACAGGAAGCTGAATTGTCTTTTGTCAGGACTGGACCACACTTCATGGAAGATATAGGTTGGTGTTAACAGAATGTAGAAAACAGCACCGTCTCCCTTGGAGCTCTGGTTACTCATTCAGCATCCCAGGTGAAGTACTGGGGCCAAACAGTCCTTGGCAATGTTTACATGGAAGCAGGGACAGTACAAGTAAGTTTCTTTTCAAATAGTTGTTTGGCTCTGTATGCCTTCTGTGCATACTGTCTTGCTCTACTTTTCTACCTGCTCTGCTTTGCTGTGCAAAAGTGTCAGCCAAGCTTTTCAGTGATGCCATTCGGTTTGGTTCTTGAGCTTACAGTCTTACCACGTGTATGGAATAACTCTGCACAGTGTTTGCTTGGAAAGGAAGGAAGTGCATAAAGTTAAGGGTGGAGGATAACTGCTGTGTGAATTCTGACTATAGCAGTGTGTTTTGACTTCCTGGCTCTCTTTTTTCGTGATAAAAGAAGATACTTTGTTTCTTTAAGCACCACAGAAGAGATTTCATTGCTGCCGCCTTGTTCACGTGACATTCATGCCTCCTGCACACCACAAAACTCAAGAACCATTTATAGCCTGGAATGTATCATCTGCTCATGAGTCATCGAGTTCTAATCAACACCAGTACTAGCAGAGATAGATAGATAGCTGTTTTACTTCCGTTTCTGGACAAATAGTGGCCCTTCTTCTACATGGACTTTTGGGACAGGATCTCACTGAATGCTAGTGAGGAGGATGGAGCAGGACTTCTCTCAGCTTTTTCAAAAGGTAGTGCTTGATATCCTGTCACAGATGAAGTACATCTTCCAAGGCAGGAGCAGCCCTCAGGAAGCAGCAGTCATACGCTGTTTTCATTTCGGCTTCTGGCACCTCTTGCCAGGCAGCACACGTACTGGTGTGAAGAATGCACAGAACCACTGCTTCTGCAGGGTTGCTCTTGTCTGCTTGTTGACATGGCAGGTACCTTTATCAGCTCAGAAGTGGGGTGAGTACAAAGCTGTGCGCTGTATCAACAGGTTGTTGTGTAAAATTGACCTCGTCCTGAACTGCTTCTGTATACCTGAAATTGCAGGCACCTGATGATTGGAGAGATCTCAGTCTTCAAGACTGAAAGACGGTATGGGTAGTCTTGAGGCTGAAGAGAGGCACAACAGAAATTATGGGGAGCTGGAGCTTTCATTTTTGAGCATAGAAAAACGTGATCATGTTTGTTCAACAGCACGAGTGATTATGCCTGGAGTATCTGGAACACTTTGAGTCCAAAAGAAGCAGGGCAAGAAGAAATACCAAGGAAGCAAACAAGCTCTGGCACGTTAGAGCAGACTAGAAGTGCCATAAGGAGGTAGATAGTAAGAAAAGATTGTCAGCTAATGCAGAAGAGTTTGTAATTGTGATGGCTGTGGCCATTGCCTGGAAGACCCTGAGTATTTAGATGGAGAGCTGCATCTGCTCTGAGCAGCAGTTGTGTTGTGCTGGTTTCAATGTCATGCCCTCAGGAATGTTGTCTGATCAAAAAGATTGCATGCCTAACTTGACAGCAGTTCAGGGGATTGGTAGACCTGGGGAAAGCTGACTGTCCCCTGAAGAGGTGTCCTGTATACTGGCATGATGTGGTGGTGTGTGGGTGTGTGTGTAATGTCACTCTTCTCACTTTTGTTGAAAGTGAGGCTTAACTTGCTAAGGCCATGGTTAAATGCTACGCTTGATTTCAAATAACAAATCTTTTTGAGGTCACCTCTTTAATAGTCTGAGTGTAATTAGTTGAATGGACTAAAAGTCCATCACAAGCGAAGTAGGTAGAACACCTATAACCATGCCCTTGCTGCCAAGTTAAGGGAACATCTACATAGAGAAACTCCATAAAATGAGGAGGATTGAAAAATACAGATGTTGGTTTACAATGAAATCTAAACAGCATGCATGGGAAAGAAAGCTATAAACAAAAGCCCATAATCGTGCATGGAAGGAACCTTCCTGAATGCTTGTTTGCTAATTCCTTCAATAGCATGAAAATACTCTCGCATGTGAACGGCATTAGGGTTGTCCACCCTGTGCAGGAACATAAGCACGTGCCTGATTGGGGAAAGTGCTAAGTCCTTTTATTCTAAACAAGGCGTCTTGATGAGGAACTGGAGTTTTGGTTGTGTGTCAGCTTTGTCAGACGCACTTCTTCTGCAAAGGGCTCTGTGGCATACAGTAGGTAAACAAAATCTTGGGCTGAAGCTCCATAGCTGCTGTAGCTCATACTGCATACATCTCAGCTGCCTTGGAGCAAAAACGAATTAAACCTGCACACAGCTGCTTGGCTGCTATGTGTTCTCTGCTTTCATGGTTCCTAGAGTACGGCAACTTTAGCATTTGATAGCCCTAGCTGAGCTTCTGGGGTATGAGTGCCCAATCATACATTATGAATCCTGTGTTAAGTAGTTTTAGGGACTTTATCCAGAGAAAAGTAAAGCCAGAGTTCCCATATGTATTAACTACACTGGTCATCTTCTAAGTGGCATCTGAAGCAGTGTATCCTTTCTACAAAGACATGTGAGGGCCCTAACTGCTATTACTAAGTATAAGCAAGACTTAAAAAGTTCATGGTGCTTGACCATGGGATGTGATGACATCCATCAGTGATTTTGTGTGACAGCACTACACAATGAAAGCAGGTGGACGTTTCTGCATTCTGAATACTTAAAGCCATTTGCTTTTTAGTTTCTTAAAGGGCCTTGGGAAGAGTTCGAGGAAGCTTATAAACTCTCTCAGGCTGCCCTCATTTTAATGCTGTTCTTTCGGTCTAAAATTAATTTGTGATCTATATTAGATGCTGATATCTGAGATAGAGAGGATGGCTCCTCCTTGGATGAGTTACTGTCGTCATTTTGCCTAGGCTATCGATGGGATGGTCTGCCTTCACTCTCTTATGGGAAACTGCATCGCGTTTCTGGAAGGAATGTTGGAATGGGTTTTGGTGACCTCTTGGACATGACCTGTAGAAACGTAAATGTGAGAACTGACAGGCTTTCTCGCCTCCCATTGTGCACTGGGGAGGGAGACTGCGATGGAAGATACTGCCAACTAGCGAAGATACTGCTGTACCAACTCTACAGATTAAGCCAAACTTTACCACCTTTACAATAGACTTGTACACAGGCAAACTGTGTGTAAAAACTGGTAGTCCCTGTGTAAACTGTGTATTATCCTACAGGTGGGAACCAGCGTGAACTTGCCCGCCAAAAGAACCTGAAGAAGACTCAGGAGATCCACAAAGGGAAAAGGAAAGAGGATAGCTTGTCTGCTTCTCAGAGAAAACAGAGGTAAGATCTAGTACGGTTGAGTGACACGGTTGGGCACAATAGGAGGGGAAAATGGGTCAGAAAGAATCCAGGGTCATAGCTAAAACAGCATGTAAGTACTTTGCCTTGATTCACGATCCATTCACATGCCAGAGCATAAACCCTGGATGTAGGTTTTACTGTAGATGCTGTTAAAACAGATTTGGTTTTGGTAAGACTTGTAAAGTTTTTCTTTCTTTTGAGCAACTTTTTGCCTGGTAAGAACAGGAAAAGATTGTGTAATACTTTCTTGAAGGTGTTTGATCCATTGTGTCCTTTACTTGTAAAACTAAAAGAATTATGTAAGGTCTACTAATCAAGTAACTTGTCTACCTCATGGGGTACTGTACTGAAAAAAACAGGGTAATAGAAACAGTGTGCTCCTGGCTAACTGAGAAGTTTTATACTAATCTTTTTCCCTTCTTGAAATGGGTGTTGCTAAAGGGCAAAAACAAGCTGGAGGAGACTCTACTTAGAAAACCAGTGAGCCAGTATCTGAAATCCAACTTTTTTTTTTTTTTTTTTCAGAGACTCTGAAATTATGCAGCAAAAGACAA